GACGAAGGACCGGGGGTGTAGGTAAGAGAAGACGGGAGAAAGTTTGGAGACGAACAGATGGAGCTCGGGCAAGTGCCGAGTCTAAGGGCCGCTCCGGTGGGAGCAAACAGTGTTCGTGAGCGAACAAGTGTGCTCTGACGTTACTTCGGCCCTTAGTTCTAGTCGTAACAAGGCAGAAGCTGGCAATGAAGGTGGGCAGCCCTGCCTGGAGCTTTTGGAGAGGGATGGACAGGGGATGCTGATGACCCTGAAGAGTGACATATCGATTGGGGGAGGTGCCTTAACATTAAAATCTTAAAAAAAGATTGCCGCAGAGGATGACCCATGGGCTAAACAGGAAATTACTGTAACAGCTAATAAGGAATTGCTTTGCTAACGAAAGTGGGAAAAAAAACAGCTGACGGGTTAGAAATGGAGCTCTGTTGTAATGGCTGGAGGAGGGTTTGGGGGTGCGATTGGTTTCACGGGAAGTGTTGGGACACTTGGGGTCGGTTTCTGTGCGCAGTAATTCTGGGCGGTGTTTTCCTGTTCTGGTCCCACGGAGTTAGGCGGGTGAGTTCTCAAGGGGGTTTTCAGGGAGGGTTTCTTTGTGCTCGAGTGACGCATTGAAGCGCCTATTCCCTAAGAGTTCATCCCAAAGTATTTTCCATTGTATTTGACTTTTTTCCCAATTAAAAAAAAAAAAAGGTAAGGTTTTTGTTCGCCTATTAAAATACTTAAGATGGAGAATGATAAAAGTGCTGTTCTTTGTGGAACGCTAAGTATGATGGTGGAACTTATTTAAATAGAGGAAGATACTGCAGTGCCTTTTTTTTTGTTTTTTGAAGTATATTGTCATCTTTAACAAATAAAAAGATGTTACAGACTTTATGAATTCTCTGCATTATTTCAGCTTTTTCCCCCCCCCAAATTTGAAAGGGAAACAATTGTTTCCTTAACCTGAATTCAAACTTCATTCTCATCTATGCAGTGGGACTTCTCCCTTGGAGCTTCTGTGCCGAGAATCCGATGTTGGGCTCGGCTACCTGGCTGAATACAGCACATCAGCCGATGAAAACTTCTATTCCTAGCCAAAGGAAGGAGTCCAGCAAAAGGCAGCACCTACTTTTTCAGGCTTGGAAGCAAGAAAGGGGGCAAGAGTTGGAGAGCGTGGAATCTGAGAAGACAACTGAAAGGTAAATGGGGGTGGGAGAGGAATAGTATGCTGTAGGAGAGTCATCGTGAAGGTGCCAAGTACTGTGTGATAGCATCTGGCTGTCTGCTTTGGAAGTTCAGTTACAAATGGCTGCTTTCCATTTGAGGTTGTTTTCAGCTGACTTTGGGTTTATCGGAGTAATTCTTGGACTTACCAGAAAGACTGGGGAGTGGCTTTATCAGTGCAAACTTTGCCCAGATCTTTAGGTGTAACAAGCTTGGTTTAAATGTCTTCAGGATTAAACACCAATGCCTTAAATTTAGCACTGTACTTTGAGAGTAAGGTGTCTTTCACATTCTTCCAGTAACACCTTTTGCTGAGGAGAAAAGAAGTGGCATATTTAGTAGCTGGGCTGCCTGGAGGGACAGTGTTTTCCTAACTAGGTTAGACAAAGCTGTGACTGTTGATAAGGGGACTGGGGTACAGTTCCTGAAGGATGTGCTAGCCAGCCATCAGCAGCAGAACTGTTAAGCCATTGTAGAGTCCATAATCTCCCACTCAGAAGATATGCTGCATTGTAATTCAGTTCTCATGAGTGTGTCAGCTAAGTTCTTAGGTATTGTTGAAGCGGCATCCAGTAAAGGAGAACAAAGATTACTTTCAATTGATAGAAGTTTTGGTTATATTGATGTCAGTCCCCTTGCTTAGAATCTAAACACTCTCTGAAATATTTTCTGATTTAAAAAAAAGTAGTAATGCAAACTCTACTGACTTTTCCCTGTTCTTACAGGTGACATTTAAGTTGAAGATGGGTGGTGGAGAAAGATTCAACATTCCAGTTCCCCAATCTAGAAACATGACCAAGAACCATCAACAACTTAAAAACAGGCAGAAGAATAAAGACCAGAATTCGCAGATGAAGACCTACATGAAGAAAGAAAGAGGACACGGATGCAACTCATCATCTGGTGCATGGCAGGCCATGCAAAAAGGGGGAAAGAACAATGTTCATTTCCCCAGTAATCAAAATTGGAGTCCTACTTCATCGAATCGCAACCTGTTTTTCACACCTCAAACCAATCAGAACTATGCTGGAGCAAAATTTAGTGAGCCACCCTCACCAAGTGTTCTTCCTAAGCCACCAAGCCACTGGGTACCTGTTTCTTTTAAACCTTCTGATAAAGAGATAATGACATTTCAGCTTAAAACATTACTTAAAGTCCAGGCTTGAAATGTATCTTTTCATATTTTTAAAGTCACTTAAATTTACAGGGTTTCAAATTTGAGAATTGTTATTCCTAACTCCAGATGCACAGGTATACAGAACTAGATGTTCTTGCTGCATGTAGTCAGTCACTTGGAAGAGAAGGGGGTGGAAGTTTACAGTCCCTTAATGTTTTACCTCAAAAGTTGTGTGCTGTATTCACTGTGAAATAGGTATTTTCTCTATAATAAATCTAATCAAATCCTGAACAGTCACCATTTATTGTAAGATTAAATGGGACTGTCTCTCAAAATTTGGAATTGTGACTACTTTTTAGTATGGTGTTAGAAAACCAGCTTTTACCTAACTTAATGCAGCATTAACTGGAAAAAAATGCACTGAAAGCTTTAGTCAGGTACTTTGTCGCTTTTCAGACTTGCTTAAGCAGGTTTGCTGAGCAGAGACCTCCACCTCCGCACTAGTTAAAACAACAGATGATTCTCTTGTTGATACCTGTGAGCTTTATTTGGCACTCTTGAATTGGTGGATGAGCAAGCCTGTAACTAAACTTGAGATCTAGGAAACATATTGATGGGTGTTCTTGAAGAGATGGAAGAACACATCAGGCTGAAGCAATACTTTAGTGAAATCTCAACAACTCAGGCTGTGCCAACTAATGACACTGCATTGCCAGATGACTGCCAAAACCCCCAAAATTCCTTTGTATTCCAGTTGCCCTGAGGAGTTCTAAAATACATTTTTGTATCAGTTTTTAAAATTGTGAAAAAGGTGGAGTAGTTCCTTAGACTGGTCTTAAATTGGTAACCCTGTAGTAATTGTTTTAAGTTACAGTAGCTTGTGGCAGGTATTAAAATGTTTTCACAGGGAAGACAGAGCCATGTAAATAAATGTAAAACTTTGTAGCATATGTAAATTTATGCTGGGCTTTCCTGCACAGAAGTATTTTTTAGTACAAAACTGCTGAATGTAAGATGACCATGTTGAGTACATGGCCTGATTTAAAAAAGATATTTTGTTTTTTTAAAAAAAAGACATTTGTGGCTGTGACCTTGCACTTAACACAGTGAATATGCACATTTTACTTGGTTATGAGCTCATTTTTAAAGTAAACTCGGTGCAAAAGAGGCTTATTTAGAATTTTTTAATAAAATAAAAAAAAAACAAAAAAAAACTTGAGCAGCTTAAGATACTCATGTTCTGAATGTATAGGAGAAATGTGTATTAAATGATGAAAAAACACTAAGGTGTTCAAATCGTGTGTTTCACAAGAAATGCAAATGGCTTGAGTTCAGGTGCTTGATAAAAACTGAAGTGTTGTAATTAGGAGTTTTCTCTTTCTAAAATGCATCAATGCTACATGATTTTGCCTCGGTATTTGCTAGAATATGTCAACTTCAGAATCGGGATGGGGAGGTGCCAGTGTGCACCTTTCAGTGCTGTCACAGTTCAGTTGATCCTGTGATAGAGACAACTGAACTGTGCTAACAGAATCAAGGTTATTTCAAAACACAGTAATTAGCTAAAAAAGTGCTTTAACTTGAAAGGGAGTTTTGCAGATTGTGAAATGTTCTTTGAGATGTCTTTCTGTACATTCAAAAATGCATTGGCAGCTGGTTGAATGTTTACAAATCTGTTGCTCCAAATAAAGATGGAATTGGCAATCCTTAAACTTGGGTCTCTCTGACCTGGACCTTCACCAGTGTACAAGCTGTATCCCAGTTACAATTGTGTATGCTCAACTTCAAATTGTCAATTACTAATTGTGCATGTACAAATTGGAAACAAATTTAAATAAATAAAATTTTCACCCCCTATTTATTTGCGGATGGCAATGGAAAAGTGGGATTACCTTATTTTGGCAGCTCTATGAAGCTCTGACACTTCAGAGGACAGATGAATGCACCCTTTTGTATCCTTAACTGGCAGGAAACTCTTTACAGTTATCTTTATCTGGTCAGAATCAGCAACCTGAGAAGCCCAGGCGGATGTTCTGTCTGCCTCTCCAGGGTGGGTGTCGGAACAAGCTGGAAGTCACAAGGAAGGTACAGCCCCCTCAGTCACACCTTGCCAGTCGTTTGTGAACACAGGGCTTGAAAATTAACATTACTCACAAAACCAAACCGAAGCCTGCTAAGGGGCTGTCAGGCTCTGCCCAGGAAAGCTAGACTTGTGAGATCAGCTTATCTGAGTAGATGCAGCTTAAGCTTAGCTGAGCACAGCTGTGATCCAGGTCTCTGCTACCTCTGATGCAGGTCACTGGCTCTGGGCTAGAGGGAGTCTCCTGAGGTATTCAGTGCTTGGTGATCAATTGCCAACAGACTACGGCTGTATTAATTAAGTCAGAAGGTGCTCTCAAGTTATAGTCAAAACTTGTACATTTTATTCCCAATTCACAGGGTTATTTGCACAGATGGAACACAAAACTCAAGAAGAAAGGATGTGTATGAATAAAACATTAGCATCTTTTGATCAAACACACTACAGGGTACATAGTCTTCCCTTCCTATAATAATCTCATCAGTAAGAGCATCTTTAGACAAATAGTATAGCAATGGACTACAGACTTTTTAAGCAAGTTACAAGATAAATGGAGAAAACCAGCAATTATTAATGGGTGATTATGTCCTAAAAATGTGTAAATTTGTACTTCAAAACGTTAATCATCTGCAACATCCCTGCCAAAAAATCAAGCAGCAGTGCTGCGATATATATCGATCCAATTGCCCTTCTCTGAACATAATTCAAGCTGTTACCCCAGACTAAACAGTAAGGAAAAAAAACCCAGCTCTTTCCAAGAAGAGAGCTCAAAATAACATTGAAATTGAAAATTTCCACTTTGAATAAAGCCATTATACTGTACATTTAAACATCTTTAAAAGACATAGAAAGGATAACATTTAGCTTTCAGAGACCAGTCTATTATAGTCCCTAATTTAAACACCCAGCTACTTAACCACTAAATTTAAGATTTTTTAATTATCAGTTGGGTGCATGGACTTTTGGTGAAAAAGAAGTTCCAATAGAGCCTTCTATTACTGCTGAGATAAATCAATACGCTGCAGATACTTTGGAGCACAGCCATTACTTTCAGCAGAATTCTTACATACTACTTCAATTCTACAAATTTTGCAGGAATGACAAAATCTATTTTACCACAGAAAAACATAATTCCCACCGTTCTTGAGACTCCAAAAGAAAGATGCCTATACATGATCTTTTGTAGCCTGCATATGTTCTTGCATTCCAGCTGTGCATAACCTGCAGGTAGCTTGCACAAGACAGGCTACTGCTTTTTTTAGAGCAGGACTAGGATACCTGCATCAGGGAAGGGAGATGTTATCTAGATGGGCTGTGGCTTGACTTGCATGAATGCGTAAACATTCCCTGCCCTTTTGGCCACATCCTGCTAACTCGTCCCCAACTGAAAGGCCCACAGAACAGCTTCTTCACAATTTTTTCCATGGGAGCAAGAACTAGGACAACATCTTTATTCATGCACTCTTGAAACATCGTGGGTTTGTGTTCGGCTTTTCTGGCTTGTTCATATACACAAGTCAAGTCAAAGTTTAGTCCTACCTCTGGGAGAGAAAGAAAGAACCATCAGAACTGTCAGATACTACATTATACTTGCAATGAATTGGATTTTCAAAACAAAACAAAAAAAAAATTAAATTGTGCTATACATAAGTTGAGGCACACAATATAAGGACATGCTGACAAAATAGTTAAGGTATAGTTACTGTTATACTGCCATCTCAAATTAGAACCTCAGCCTGGACACAAAGATGTTCTCCTCCCTCCTCCCCACTGATCCAGCTGTAACTCTGGCTGGACTAACGTGAACACTAATTACAGCAATCCCTTGCAGGTTGCTGAGAAAAACAAAACCACACTTTCCCAGGACAGAGTCAGGTGGACTGCTTTTAAGCAGGATTTTAGTCATGAAGACTCTATTCATTTAAGAAAGCTGAAAAAGGGTGGGTTTTTCTGCTGTTACAAGCAGAAAGCTACAAGATAATCACAGCTTAACTTCCAAAGTGTTAAGAATGGGTTTATCAAAGCAATTAAGTGCTTTTCAGAGTTATTTTTCTTCTGCAGCATAAGAACCAGTTGTATATACCACAAGGGCCAGGATGCAGCTCAATTTCTAATCGTCATCAGCAAAGTTTTACCATCTTCTAGAGAAGCACTGCTGGTGCAATTTTTGATATGGCAAATATAAATCAACAGGGTGATACTGAAATTTGGTTCAATATGAACCTTCAATTTTTGATTTTAAGTAGTTCATAACCTGGCTAATAATATCTGAATTATAACCATCGGGCAAGGCAGTCCATCCAGCAATAATGAAAGTTAATGGCAAAGAAATTTCAATATATTAGACTAAAACATATGATTATCACTCTTATTTTGTCTAGTACCCCTTTAAAAATGTGAAATATTTATTCAGACATTAAATGGTAAATTCCTGATTTTACTGAAATACCATAGTAAGGATTTTACTCCATAAGGGATGCATAGCTCTACTCCTAACCATGCTCTGGAGTCAAATTCTAAAGCTACAATAATTCCAGTGGATCAGTATTTCCTTCATTTTTTTATTACAGCATGTTTGCTAAATTTACAGCAAGCAGAAAATAAGCTGGGTCTTTAGTTATTTTGATCAAAACATTGATGTTTTAAAGGTAGTACACAATATTTGTTAAAAAGAACATATAAAAATACCTTTTTAGAAGCCTCTATAAGAAAGGAAATACAAAGTTTAATCCCACAACTTTCCTCTGCTAGAGCTGCACACTACTGCTACAGTTTTAAATAGACTTTTTGCTGTTTTTAAACTATACATCCAGGAAAGTCTACAAAATTAAAGGAACGTGCATATAAATGATTGCATAGCAGAACATGAACATTAACTGCGAACAGTAAAGAAAAAGTTAGAAATACTATCAAACGTACAAAGATTCTAGGATCAACCCCCTAAGCACGTTCCACTGCCAACATTTAAAAGCCATCTGCATTTCTTTAAAGGCCCTGCTGAAAACACTAAAACCAAAACCTGAAACATTTCTCTAAAAAGGAGCTTTTTGAAATCAATGTTTTTATATGCTACTACATAAGATAACGAGAAACACTAGGTGTTTGATGCTGGCTTTTGAAGGTAAATAGAAAAAACAATGCCAAAAGCCATTTTCATAACAAAGTATCTTGCCTTCTAGAGAAATATTGGTAAGATTACGCACTAGTGTTGTTATTTTTCACATTCAATTGACTAAATATGCTGTATTAGTGATAAACTAAATAGCTAGAGATGCAGCTCTTGTTCATATCCAACTTCAAACATTTGTTCTTAAGTAAAATGAAATCTTGTAACCAAACCACTATCCATTCTGAGGAAGAAGTGATTCAGACTTGCTGGACCAAATACTTTTTGATG